AGACTAAAAAAAATATTTTGGTGTCGCACCATAGATATTTTTAATGCGTTAGTATTAGTGGTTTGGTACAGTGGCCCAATTTTTAAATAATATCAAGGGAGCGTGGACCGTCGGGACGGCCAGCGCTGTGCCGCGGAAAAATGCGGCGTCACGGGAGAGATTAAGCGCGTGCGCACAAAACTTTTTCTGTTGCGGGCGTCGTCAGCTAGCGTATTCCGCGGACCGCACACAGCCTCTGTTGATTATCTGCTGGTATAGCTAACCGCCTTTAAGCAAAGGTCTGAACAGCGCTTCCTTGCGTGATACTGCTCAAGCGTGGCATAAACTGCGCGTCGTCTCGAGTTTAATTTACTTTTTTTGTTAATTTCATGCTTGCCTTTATTTTTTGGGAACACCAATAAAAATGAAAAATACGGTGACGCGACAAACTGAATGCAACGATGCTTTAAACTACATACCGCAGAATATGCTACGAGGCATCAAAACTAATCCAGTGCTTTCTCCCTGCCACGTGACATCGTGCTATACCCCGTGCAGTTGTACCCAACGGGAAGGCCACGTGACACGATAACTCTAGCGTCGGCTGCGGTACAACACAAAGTAAAACGGAGTATGAACAGGGTTTTCGCTTGGTGTTATGTATTATCAGCTGCGTTGTTGCTGTCGTCATCTAACCTGTGTAGCCGGGTGGTCACAGTTTTCTTTGACCAGCGGGCGCGCGAACATTTTTATGCCTCCTCGGGGGCCCATAAATACACGGGAACGTATTGTGAGAATGTCGATGGGCGGCATGACGCAGAGGGATATAGAAACAACGGTCGGGGTTACACAGCTAGACTAACGTCAATAGGATACTGTGTCCTATTGACTGACGTCAATAGGACACAGACTGACGTCAATAGCGTACACGCCACGTCGCGGCGCCCCGCCCATAGAGTAATATAGTAAACGTAAAGAGAGGACACAGAAGTCGATTCGCGTTCCAGATAGTGCGTTTAATGCCCTCCGCTACGTGGCGCTTTTCCGTGATTTGGTTAAAATTAGTTAGAACTTTTTCCGTGAGAAGTATTCATTTTTGAAATTGTTATGCTTTAGAATTATTTAAAGTACTTAGAACGACTAAATAGTTTTAACTTAATACGTCACAAAAGTCACGTGAGGAATGGCGCCTGCCACGGCCTGCCGTGTGCCTGCTCTCATGCACGCCGTCGCCTCAGCCTCTGCTCGTCTGTGCGTCGTTCGTCCGTGTCGTGCGTGCCGTCCGTTTGTGCTTTCTGCTGCGGCGTGTTCGGTCGGCTTTGCATCAAACAAGGTGACGCATGACTGCCTGCCTGCTCGCATGCTCGGCTTGAGTTCGTGGAGCCGGCTTGAGCTTCTCGCGCTGTTGTTTCCGTCGGGTTGTTGGGCTGCAATCGTGTGTGTACCTTGATTTTCGATGAAATTTCTTTGAAAAGGGAATTGAATTATGACTCTGCGAACGACATTTTCCATGGATTTACAGATGACGGTGTTGAACGGTGTTTCAGATAGATCCTTGGTTGTTGTGTTGTGCTCTCTGGAATTTCCAGGAAGTGAGTTCAGCCACTTGCATACACTGTTGTGCACACTTCAACACTGTTTTCTGTTATCCCCAGTCTTCTAATTTCTCTCATTGCAAGAACTTAAGACTGGCTTCACAGTAAAGGCTTTGGTCTGTGATCAAGAGGCTTCAAACGTAAGCTTGGCCAACCAACTTGGTGTGTCTGTGGGTAAGCCGTGTTTCCTGAAGTTGGTAACTAATATGTTTACTTCACCTTTGATGTTTCGCACCTCATCAAAACAACCAGGAACTATTTCCAAGCACACAAATTTTGCATTGGAAATGAGGTCATTGACTGGTCCCGTATTGTTAAACTTTATCGTTCTACCCATGAGATGAGGTTGCGATTGGCTCCGAAACTTACAGAGAGACACATTTTTCAAAACCTTTTCAATAACATGAAAGTAAAACGTGCCGCACAGGTAATGAGTGCCTCAGTCTGTCTTGCAATCCTTTTCATTGTTTATGCCAAGGAGCTTCCTGAGGCAGCCATGGTTACAGCCTGTTTCTGCGATAGAATGGACAGCTTTCTAAATAGCTCACAATTCAAGAAGACCGGGCAGAAGTTGCGTCATGAAATTCTGAAAAGAGAATCTGAGGTATTTGATCTCCTTCACCTGCAACTCGGATCGATTTCAACATGGAAGTTCGAAAGTAGGATGCAGTCAAAAACATCATGGGGTGTCACGTTACTATAAAGAGTGTCCTCGTGCTCTGGGAGGAGCTTTCAAATAGCCATGACGTTAAGTTCTTACTTAAACGACGCCTGCAGCAAGACCGACTTCAGAACATTTTTGGAGCTATATGACAAATGCAAGGCTGCAATAAAAACTCATAGGTGTGTCAGTTCACCTCAGGACTGAGACAGATAGGAATAAAGGAACTGTTCAAACTGTCGAACAATGGAAACGTAGAGGATGACAACGCTGACCTTTTCAAGAAGTTGCCAATATTTTTGCATTATGAAAGTTCACTTTCAGACAATGTGGGATGTCGTCCAATTGATAACTTCCCGCCACTCGAGGATATTTCTAAGCTGACATCAGACATCCAGTTTAACATATTTGATGACTCGTCCACTTGTTACGTTAGGGGCTACTTGATCAAGCATTTCCTTGGAGTGGCAACCCACAGGTGTGGCTGTAATGAACTGCTGAGGGTAGAATCTGACAGCTTGGCCAAGCTTCACCAGTACTCACTCGTGCTTAAAGCATATCACGTGCCTGGAAAGGTCTTCGGGAATCTAATATACCATCCCAGGCTGCCTTTAATTTCATTCAGCAACTAGAAAATCGCTTTCTTGCCGCAATAGAGAGCGTGGCGCATGTTTGAGGAGAGTGTGCTATCTTTTATCGCACAATTTCAGGTCTGGGTAGTTTTGGCATTGCTCAGAGTGCCACAAATGTTTTTTTTTTTATGTTTCGCAGAATACGCTTGTGTTGGCATGTTCGATTTTTTAACCTGAACTTGGACAAAGTTTGGTTGCACTCTTCAGTTGCTGTAAAGCAACTAGACAAGTTTCACTGTTAATAGTGTATTAACGAAGGAGGTTGCAAATCAGAAACAGAAAGTGCGTATTAATTGAGCGGTGCAGTTTGCTTTCAAAAAATTTGTTTCCCTTATTTCTAGCAAATGCGTATCACGGCCCTTTTGCAAAAGTATTTATCCACTTTGTACAGAATTGCTATGGAAAATAGTGTATAGTTGCTATAGATATTAGAAAGAAAATGTATCCACTTTTGTATCCACTGTCTATAGTTTTTTAACCGCTTTTTTTTAGCCATACTTTCTTTTTGATCAAATGTACTTCGAGGAATGTCTAGGAACGTTGAATATTGTCAGATTCCGAATAGAATTCTCAGTGTTTGGTATTGGCCCGCCCGCAGTGTGTTTCAGGCTATGCCGATTCGTATGTTTTATAATAGCCGGATGGAAATTCGTACTCTTCGCTCTGTGCTTTGCTCTCTTATTATACTCTTTTGAGTGGTAATGATAGCGATGTCTTATTTATTTATGGACTTTGCTTTCTGATCCCAAGTCGGCGTGAAAGCGAATGGACCATTCAGCATTTTCCCTGAGGAAAATGTTTGTTAACTTGATTCCGCTAAAAATCTATTACGAAGTGTACGATATGCCGAACTCCTTCATATTCATTTATTTTTGTGAGTTTTACTATCTGTTTCTTATAAAACATACAGAGCGTCTGAAGTGAGTCATGTATATACGAATGTGGTCCAATAAAATATTTTCGAACCACTTACTGTTGTTGACCCCAAAATGCTCCACCAGTCAGCGAGTCAATGTGGAGGTTGTGTAACTTCAATGTTTTACAGTAGAAAAAATAAAGAAAAAGATATACGCATCTGTATTGTGAAGTAACAATTTTGTTTTAAGCATTTTGCACGGATTATATCGTAAAAATTAAAATAAAACTGCGTCAACATTAAAAGAAAAAAAGAAAGAAAAAAACAGTGGCTCGGGGAGTTGAAGAGCTCCCGAGAGCGTAGCGAGGAGCGACGCAAGAAGGAAAGATGGGGAGAAAGGGAAGGGAAAGGGTACCGGAGAACCGGAGCAAAAACGACCAAACCGAAACCGAAACTAGCTTGACCGGAACCGGAACTAGATTGAGTGACAGCTAGCGCCCGCAAGGAGCGCTAGCTGTCACTCGTCTATCTGGGCCACTGGAGCCTACGGCAGTGTCCGCTCTTTACCTGGTGTCAGAGCCGTAAATGTAGATATGCCCCGCCGGCGGCCCAAGTGCGCCATAGCCCCGGTGTCCCCCACTGCACTTCGGTGCTAAGGTATTACGTCACACGGCCGGCGTGCGTGAGGGCGCTTTGGACGCCTTCGGAAACTCCTGCAGCCGGGCTGCACGTTGCGTTCTTCGGCCTGCTACGCCGTTCTTGACACGCAGTAGCCTTACCATGTCACCGGGCCGTAAGCGCACGGTGTCGTCGCCCCTGAATGCAGATGTATGCACAAGAACGAAATGGCCAGGTCAATTTCCGCGCACCGCGCGGACGTCCTTTATGCACACGCTAAATGACCCAACTGATCTGCTTGCACCAGGGAGAAGAAAGGTTTCGGGAATGTTCTCCCCGCGGAATGTGCTGAGAGGCTGCATTCACCAAGTTTTGTTATATAAAACCGCGGCGCGAAATGTTTACGCATTTCTTCGAGAATCAGCGTGAAGGCAGCAGCGATTTCAGCCCATTTTGTTTTTCATTTGGCGGAAAACTTGCTTTGAAGCTTATTTGTATTTTGATTCGACAAAGCCTTATATATCTGGCCTCAAGACACGACACGAAACGTTCTATCTGCGTTTATTATAGTCATAATTCAATGCATCGTAAGCATGAGAATTGCAGGCTCAGATAAAAGGAAAAATAAACCTGAAAAAAAATATCTAAAATTTCGTTACCTTGATTTCGTTCATGATAGCAGGATACCCGATGTCAGTGTAAGAGATGACATCCTTCGGCGGGGCACAGACGCAGCCGTTTGATTCTGTCATTCCGTAGAAAAGCCTTAAACTTCGAAGGTTCTCAAAAACGTTCCTGGTTAGATCCGCAAGCTGTTTCGAGAGCGCGCTACCTCCGACGTCGACGTGCCGCAGAGTGTTCAGTCTCCTACCCGTGGACTGAACGTAATGAACCAGTTTCTCAAGGTGCCCCGGAAAGCAAAAAGAGAAGTTACCTGGAAGAGAGGAGACGCGGTAAGCCTCATTACACGGCACCCCAATGTGCAACCGCGAACAATACGAATATGAACAACCTGCCATGCTTACTTGGCGCATCTCCAAGTACTTGCAGATGCGGAAAGGCTTGACCTTAAAGTTTAGATACAAGTCTTTAAATTATTAAACCAACCGTAAGGAACGTAATCGGAATTGTGGGGGCTATACTCATCACAAACAGAAATGCAATAGTATGTGTTGGCGTATTCCCCCCAGTTTGTATGACTGGAGGGAATACGCCCTCCAGTCATACAGACTGGAGGGCGTATTCAAAATTAACCTCCCAGTTGGGAGGTTAATTTTGAAAAAAGGCATTTGCTAAATATAAATAAATAAGCAATACATTTACGAGGACAAGTATGCGTGGCGATTCCGACAATGCACTGTCCACCAGCTCATTTTCCTATTAAAAAAAAAAAGGCAAGACGGTTTGAGTCTGGTGTTTCTTGCGTTGAAGTAGCTGAATATTAAATTCAGCTACTTTTAATTTTTCCGTATAAATGTACCGTGTTCCTTTTTTTTAAACTTAAGTTGCACATAGCAGTAGTCAATAAATAGAAACAAAGTTGGCATGCCCCCTCACCTTGAATTTGTCGATCATATCGGCGTACTGGTCCATCCCTAAGGTATGAGGGGCAACTACACAGATAGCTCCAGCCAGAGCCGTGAGGATACTACATAGCCCTGAAAAGTGAGCCAATTGGTTCCATGCCAGCGTGACATCTCTGTCGGTTTCAGTGCCGAATTTTCTGCAAAGATTTGTTAAGAAGCACGTCCCAATGAATTAAGGGGAGGGAGAAGAGACAATGTTTAGAAATATTTCAGTTTTGAGACCCTTGAATAGCTTTCTTCAAATGAGTGAACGATGCCTGTGTCCACTTCCTCACGAACCATGGAGTGTGCACTGATTGTGATCTACAGAGGGTGCTAAGGGACAGTAGTCCAGCAGTTCATAATATTTATGGGTGTCTACAGCGAATTTTACTACTGCAAAACTAGCCAGAAAATCGCAATAGCTAAATCGGTCCTTTGCCAAAAGGTCCATTGTTGACCATTTACAAAAAGTGCGACGACAGGAATTAATGCAGGTTATTGAAGCAAATGGTTATGACTGTAATTAAAATGGAGCGAAGAGAGTTACTGGCTCTACTTTCACCTTCATTGAGTTTGTTAGAAATTACAATTTATTAACTATAACAACTTACCCAATTAGCATTTACATTGGCGATCATTTAATAATATTTATGTTCATTAACAGCATATACAAAAAACAAACAAAAACCCTCAAAGTATGACTTGATAAGGAAAACATTATCAGATGCAATGGGAAGTAGATTACGCATATGAACCTTTCTAACAAGCATTTAAAGCTATATGTAGTGAGACCTGTCGATACAGAGCTCTCATAGTGCTCATAGAAGACACGTATTCCTAGGGTGACGAATAACGTATCGGATAGAGGCTCACAAAATAAAAAAAGGAGGGTACAACCTGCGCGAGTCAGGCTGCTTTGGCATTGATGGACAGTAAAGTAGAAATTTTAAATCGGGGAATATCGCCCATGAAATGGTATAACCAATAGCACCCAACTTTGTGATGCGCAGGCGTCATTCTATCACAATTACAGAGTCGTGTGTTTCTTAATGTTTTTTTCGCGGTTTATTCATAATAAACTCTCAGTTGTTGGTCAGCGCTTGTATCATCCAATTTTTGTTCTTCAGTTCGTGTAACATTCGCGCTCTTTGAACATGAACCCACGCCAACTAGACAAGTTATCCTGTCTCATGAAATACACATAAAAACAGCATGAGGCAACACTTCAAAACAAGCGAGTCAGAAGACTCGGAAACTTTAATGCAGAATCGTAGCCAAATAATTTGTTTGCAAAGTTGTGTAAACTCTGCATACTGCACAAATATAATGTCCCAGAGATAACCGCAAATATTTGGGCACACTTTTGGGAAGGATTAAAAGTGCTTCGTACATCGTGAAAGTCAAATACTGTAAAAGACAAAAATTTTGCGCGAACCTAATTTTCCCGAATTTTGCTACTCGCCTACAAATCGAAAAAAAAAAAAAAAAGTTTCGCAAAGATTTTTTGAGGAAAATGGTGACATCTTGGAAGCTACATTGAAATGCTACGCTTCCCTGAGCAACGACCTAACAGCGGGAAAGCACCCCTGCAAAGGTTCTCACGTTGTTGCATGTTCTATTCATAACTAAGTATTTCAAATATTTGAAAGGAAATAATGCAATGAGCTGAAAATAATGATCACCTCAATTTTAGAACCCGCGAGTAATTGAAACATTTCTTTGGAGCCATTCGCGGAAATTATAGGGCGCCAAAATTAAGTCGTTTACAGTATTAGATGCAATAATCTGAAAAGGCGATCAGTTGTCCGGTTGTGCTTTGGTGAATGATTTTAAGAATTACCTAGTCGGCCAGTCAAGTGATGCAGACGTGCCAGAGCGTGGACCTGGCGCTTGCAGCTATATAGGTGTGTAGATGTCAGGTTTCGGCTCGTTCGAGCAAATTCGAATATTTTTCGGTCGCGTTTCGGTTGTGCGTCCTTAGAGAGTTTAAGAATACAGCACGCTAAAGCTTTGCGTACGCAAAGAATAGCGTCGTCACCACTGCGCATGTGCCGAACGTCATTTTAGCGTACGCTATTTCACGGAAGTTGCGAAAAAATCACTCATACATCTATATCTCAAACGGATGGCCGTACTTTTGGTAAAGAAGGCCGCGATCAAGCGAGGGTTATGACGTCATTATCCTCCTAAAAAAATTTGAGAATGAAGGGAAGCAACCTCGCTTCTCTCGTCGTCACCTCGAATCACCAGACCGACGGGACGAAGCGAGGAGGAGAGGGAATGAGAATCGTGACGTGATTTGTCTCGTTGGTCTCGTCGGCCGTTTTCGATCGCGCAATTCTTTTCCAAAAATACGGATATCCGTTAGAGATATCGCTGTATGAGAGATGTTTTTCGGTTTTGCAGTGTCCCGCCCATCAGTCCAGCATTGTTTTGTGAGCTCGACCTTTCGGTTGACTTTCGCTTTAAACTTCGTGCGCCGTTAAACGAGGACAAAAGGAGAGGGACACTACAAGCGCTGTTGTGTCTTTTCTTCATGTTTTTCGGCGTACATTGTTTACAGAATCATGTGGTAACTATCCCATCTCTCCATTTTAATAAACATAAAACACACACTCCGTTTATACAGAGGCATGTATTCGTGAACGGCAATCAATAGCAAAAACGCTTGCACAAAAAGCTGTTTTTATCAAAATCTTTTTGTGTGTTTTGGACAAGTTCCTGCTAGAATCCGATCACACTCTGAGCTACTCTATCAATACAATATAGAACTCCAAATACTGACTTAACTCGTGGTGTTGCACAAAGATAGATGTCGTGACTAATATCCAAAAGGGCCAGACGCGAGAACCAGGACTTGGAATACATTTTAGCGCTCAAAAACAAAGACAAAACTACGAGAATCAGACAGAAAAGTGCGCTACTAACACCTGATTTTATTACATGAAACCACACTTATATACCATCCGAGTTTCTGATATCGCCCTATCACTAGCCAACCCGATGCCAGGCCGCGTCATTGAGAACCAGGAATCCACTTGCACAGTCCTGTCACTTGCACAGTTTCATGCCATATTAGCCTAATTTCTGAAAACCAGTGCCACCGAATTACAGAAGCGTTACAGGTTAAGAAAAGTTTTCGAGGGAATGGAGGGCAAGTGAGGAACAAGCAGACGGAATGCTGAAAAAGAAAGCAGAAAACCTCTTCCTCTCTTCAGCATTCCGTTTGCTTCCTCCTCCCCAGCCAGAAAACCTTTCTTAACCTGTCACTGACTGCAGAGTTCATCAGCCTGGGTCTCATACACGTCGCTTTGAGTATATATGCTAATCTTCACATACCTTGTTGTTGCATGTCCCCGTTCAGCCGCACAGTTTTTAAGCCAACTCAGCCAGAATGCGAACGTTCCGTTTACAGCCTATTCCTCAGCCTTTGGAAGCGATGTTATTTCCTCTTCCTCCCCCTTTGAACTTGGTGTACGAGTTCCATACTCTATTACACCAGAGGCGGAAATAGGGTTTTGTGATTTTGGCGTTTGGAATTATATTTTTTGGTAATAAATATAGGTCTCGGTTTGCAGCTGTGGGATACTGTTATTCTGCGTGGCCTGAAAATACGTCATATATCACTGTTTGTTTATTATATTATTCTTATGGTGCGCAGACGGACACGTGCGAAGCAGACCGCATTTCAGCGTTCGAGTAAGTTTCAAACACCATTTGCGAATTTAAGCATGATCCGGTTGTTGTTGTATTTCTTCTTTCAGCGAGCGTCCTAGACAAAAAAGGGCTCGTGTTTCGCTGGGAGTGATGGAAAAACAGTGATATATTTGTATCTGCACCATTTAGAGGTTTATTGATGCGCCACCACGCGAACAATGGGACATTTCTCTCTCACGTGGGTTTATTATGTATTACAGCTAACACCATAGCATGCAAGCAGCCTTCGGGCGTTTTTGTCATGTGAAATACGCTTGACAGTAACCCATGACTTTTGGCCGCCTCTTTGCTCTGATTAATACGTTGGCTCTCTAAGAAATTGGGCTTGAGTTTATTTATAGTGGTTTACATACTGTGAACCATACAGTCTTTGTAGGCAATAAAAACGACACATATCGCGAATTCTAAGCCAAGTCCTTACAACGGGTTAAGCGAAGCGCAAGCAAGCTCTGCCATCAAAGTTACACTCAACATTTTACTGTCAAAATGTCGCCTCTTCCCACAAAGAACGAAGACAACATGAAACACAACAACAAAAGCAAAAAGAAAAAATTACAGCGGAATCGGGATGAAATCAAAACGCCTGTATTATGAGCGAACGTGAATATGCATTTTATGTGTGTATTGTTAAATGTGACTCCCTTTTATAAAAACATTGGGTGAAGGCTGAAACCACGTCAGGTTTCATGGCATTTTATCTTACAAAATGACAGAAACTATTCCTAAAATCTTTGTTCACTGCCTACGAACACTATACTGGAGTCATGTTTCGCGTGGTGTTTCGTTTTTTTTAATGCTCTATAGATTGTTTTACAAAAACTTTAAGCTACACTAATGCGGTCTAATTAGTTATACGGCCCGAGGGATATAATTTACGCAGATAATGGTCATAACAAGCCCATTAATTAACTACGATGTGTTATCTTTTTAATAATTAGTAATAAAGATATCGTTCCAATCAAAATCTTGCTTAACGTGATTGAAAACAACTAAATAACTTATTTTAGGAAGATATAGAGCGCGTGGGAAGAGCGGTGGCGGATTAAAGTTACCAGTCGTGCAACAGACGCAAGCCTTAGGGGTGCAAAAAAAAGCGCCCGCGCGGTTTTCCCGTCTCTTATCCTCTGCGTTTTTGCGCCACCAGCATTGCGCCCGTTGCACCAGTGGTAACGTTATCCATAGCCTCCTATATACTGTAAAAGCCTGGCAGATCGCCACGAGAAGCGGCCGCCGAAATGGAAAAGGTGGAGCGGCAGACAACGGATGAAAGGAAACCCTAAGGCGAGCCACGTAACTGGCGCCCCGCTGCGGCCGAGACGCCGAAAAACACTTCTCCCGAGCGAACGAGTGTGTTTCGAGTCCTCGCCGCTGCAAAAGCTGTGCGCTGACGTCCAGGTTCCCCTAGAAATGGCTCATTGATGCTCTGTGCTACCAGATCCTCGCGCTCCAAATCTGAGACCGGGCACTCTATAGACCAGTGTCCGATATCCTAGACCCCAGCGATAAAAATGGGAAATAATAATCTCAAACGCAGGCTCTTGTAAAGAGGGGGGCTGCGCATAAAACAATATTTTTGCTTTTTACAACACTCTTGGCGTCGGAGCGGTTCTTGGAGCTTTGTGACTGTGCATTTCTTACGTTCTTGCACTATACTTAGTTTCACCTTATGTCCGAGCGCGGACGATGTTATGAGCCGAAGGGCCAATCAAACAGCGCAAAAAGCACAACGTCATGGCGTGCTCTCTGCGCTTGATAGGACTAGCCGGCAAAGGAGCACGCACAGAGGGACGGCGAATACCGGCTATTCCTATCAACTGCAGAGAGCACACCATGACGTTGTGCCTTTTTCGCTGTTTGATTGGCCCTTCGGCTCATAATATCGGCCGCGCTCGGACCTAGGCTGAA